CTTACTAAATATAATTACTAGTAGTTGATAACATGTATTGACTCTCCATCTGAGTTCACACGTTGAATCAATTTTGTAATTATAATACAACCATGATTAAGTGGTAATAGAAATATATTTCTATGGTCTTCCACTATTAATTTCAAGTAAGTGTAAATTTATGCGTCGACTTTAGGTCTTCCTCCATATCGGATAAATTTATTGTAAGCTCACTAGGTGAAATACTAGTTATTGATATCATGTACTTACTCTCCATCTGAGTATACATGTTGGATCAATGGAACTAGAGCTATTAGTTATGATATATACAATTGACTAAAAATAACAGTTTACTCTCCATCTGAGTTGGTTCTGTTTCTTTTTTGGATTGTGTAATTCTTGCATTATATAATATTATTTGCATGAATGGCTCTTTTTCCCATCGAGAAATTGCTACTCAAGATGCATGTATGTATATATATTGAACGCAGTCTGAATTTTATTATTCAATGTCAATTGACTTATTATGATCTATTTAATATTGTATATCTCAACTCCACAATGACTTCGTGTAGTTTGTCGTATCACTAATAAAAATTTCCTTTGGTCGTTATAAGACGTTAATTTGATGGATGCATTGTATGTACCATTTGCTAGAAGGAATTTAATTCCAGTTTTTGAGCAAAATAAGAGATGTATATTTAATTTATTTTAGAATAATAATTGTGTTATTGAGCTTCATAAATATCCTATCTCTTGTGGTACATAGATGCATGATCTTGTTATTGTTAATGTCGATCTCCTGAACTGAATAATATTAGTCTACCTTATAAGAGAAAATGTTCTTTAAAGTTTGAGTGAAACTTATCTGTGCACTTCTGTCTAAGTCATATTAATCTAGATATGATTTCAAGTTGGTCAAGGATGAACCTTAAGGTTCATTAAAAGTAGAGGCACTACCAACTTGTGGATCTTGTTTAAAGAAAATATGACTAAGAGACATTTTTGCTCTAAAGGAAAGAGAGCTGGTGATAAGTTAGAACTAATCTATTTTTGATTGTGCTATCCAATGAACATATAGGGAAGAGGTGATTTTGAGTATTTTTATGACGTTCATAAATGATTATTCAAACTATGAATATATTCATTTGATGCACCGTAAGTCTGAAAGCTTAGAATAATTTCAGGATTTTAAGGCTTGATACGGAGAAGCACCATAAAAATATATTTAATTACTACGATCTGATCGTAGGTGGCTAGCACTTCTGTATAATTCATTAGTTACTTATCAAAATAGAAGATTATAACTCAATTGTCTACATCGGATACTCCATAATAGAGTGGTGTAGTAGAGAGAAGAAATAAGACTCTTATGGAGATGTTTAGATTAATGGTGAGTTATTCAGATTTATTTCTTTTTTCGTTATGGATATGCGGTAGAAACTACAATTACATTCTGATTTTAGTTCATTCTAAATTAGTATCTTGGACCCCATAGAATTGTGGACTTAACGTAAATCTAGTCTGCGGAGAGTTCGGATATGGAATTGTCCAATATATATACTGAAAAGGAAAACAGATAAGATAAAATCAAGGATGAATGCTTGCGCATTTATTGGATATCCAAGGGAACGAAATGAGGTTTATTTTGTTTTCCTAAAGAAAAGAAGGTAATTGTTAGCACAAATACCGGTTCTCTATAATAGGATTATTTAATAAACTATGTTCCTAGAAGTAAACTAGTTTTACAGGAACTAAGCAAAGAAATAACAAATGAATAATCTGAAAATTCAAACGCTCAAGAACATACAACTCTATTTGTCGGAATTGACGTTCCATTGCATTTAAGTAGTGGGGAAAACGTTAATAGACAAAAAGAAATTTACTACCTCCAAGTTGTGGGAGTGATGTTGAGCAGAGAACACTACAGGAAGAAGTCATTAATATTTCAATACCGCAAGGTATTGAAGATAATATTAGTAGTACTTCGTCGTAGGGGGAGAATAGTAAGGAAAATCATAGTTTGGTATGTACTCTTGGGAGAGTTTCATAACAAGATCCCTGAAGAGCTTAATACCAAACTAGTTAATTACGACAAAACACTACTAGACAAAGATTGCATTTGAAAATAACTTGGCAAGTTCCTTTTAGTAAAAGTTTATTGGCATAGACTTTTAATAGTCTTGCAAAAGGATAGCTGTGAAAGTTATAGATGCATGGTTATGAGTCTAAGTGGGAGATTGTTAGGGCATATACTATTAACCACGCATTTAGATATAGTATATTCTAATAATTGTCATGGTTAAAAGTCTAAGTGGGAGATTGTTGGGATATATACTATTATGGTTTGGATATAGTATTTATTATGGAACAATTGTTTATTCAATTTTAATAAAGTTTTAAATAGATCATACATTCGTTTGTGTCCTTTACTTATATAGTAGATGATTTAGTGTATAGAGTTTAGCTTATACACGGAAGATTAAATCATCGGTTCTTATAAGTATAAAGCTTATGTTCACAATCTAATGATGGAATTGGACAAACCATCAGGAATGATAGTAGCACAAGATTAGAGATAGTTTATCTTGATTATGGGAATGGTTTAATTCCAACTTCTTATGCTAGTACATTTTGTATGTATTGAACGGACCAAGTAGAGATAAGTATTTTATACTGACTTAATAAAATAAACTCTCTAGCCATTAAATGTACTTATACTCTTAATTTTGATATAATTGTTATTAGTTGTGTATATTATTATTGTTTTGATTTATTAAAATGCGAGATTCTTTCGTGGGTCAATATGCCTGGTAAATTGGACAATAATAATATACATTGGCAAAGTAATAGTTAGTTGATGTAATCCATGTCTCGGTCTAGAGATTGATGAGACACCTTTATGAAAGCTTATAAGTTTTCATGTGTAAACCCTGCAGGTGGATTTTGTATCCGTCACATGAAATAAGTTAAGCGAAAGTCTAAAGGAAATAATCAATGAATTAAATTGTCAGTAATTTATTTTATTGATTAGTATCTGAATCTTAACATGGGGAGTTAAATAAGATTTAATGGAAGAATTTCGAAATTGAACTGAGGAGTTCAGTTACGAATTTTTAGTGGAATAATTTGTAACTTATTATGGTAGTATTAATTCAGATATTTCGAATTAAGTCCATAATAGGAAGCCTCGTTAATTAAATACTGCGGTCCCTGCTGTGCCCGAATAATTAGGAATTAAATGGAATTCTATTTCTAGGTGGAAAAGGAAGACCCAACAGGTTTAGGAAAAGGGTTTTAAACCCTAAAACTCGTGGCTATATAAAGAGGTCTTATTCCATAAGGAGGCAAGGTTTTTACTACATGCTTTTCCTAGGAGAAATTCGCCCACGCGAATTTCGCTAATTCCAGGCATTATTCGGGTCACACAGCAGAAGACCGTGGAACTAAAGGATGAACTCGTGGATGGTTTTTGCTCAAGCTTGGAGGCTTCTCGCGATCGCAGTCACGCTTCAAGAGATAAGTATCAATTTTATGTTCGATTAAAATCTGTGATTTTGTGTTGTCTATATTACATGCAAGTGATCCTGGGTATTTGCTTCCGCTGTCTATACCTGTATTCCATCAAGATCATATGATAATTAGAAGATTTTTTTTTAGTATTGACTGTAAATAAATTGTATCATACTTGAAATATTTACTATGTCCTTGTAATATTTCATCTGATGCCAACAAAACAAATTGAAATATACGGGGAAAATGAACATAAATACAATAATGAAATGTGCTTCAACAAATGATTGAACTATAGGAGCAAAAACCAGTGTGACGTCTTCTACAAAGCAAGTTTTTATTACTTGGAACTTATAAGTGTAACATCCTATTTACTTTCAATGGTGTACAAAAATGTGGAAAATTTTACCTACTTTTTGTGTTTCACTTTTCTTGTGGATGAGAAATACCTTACTTATCTGCAGATAAATCAAAAAGGCACGCACTGACCTTTATGCAAAGTAGAAATTTAACGAATGAATCTGAATATTAATCATTAACATACACGAATTATCATTTTCAATATCATGTTTCTTACCGTCACTTCAAAATAATATAAATTTACTTAGTTAGAGACATACTTGTTATATTTCAAATCACAAATAAACCTCATAATGGAGATAACACAAATATTTTATAAAGAAGTTTTATTGTACAGAAAGTTTTAACTTCGTGATTTTTAAGACTCAAACTATATCTTTTATCCAATATATAACCAACAGGTTTAACTTTTATATTTGCAAAGACTCAAATTGGGGGTTATTCAAGTATATAAAATTAGAATTTCTCCCGAGAGTGATCATAATCAAGAAGTCATAGATAATATGGATATCCATATTATCCGCCAGTTAACCCATTTTTCAATCCATATTAAGTTAAATATATTTATCTGTTTTTGCATTACCCATTTTCGACCCTTTCATATTCGACCTGACCCATCAATTTACCATCCCTACAACAATAGTATCCAATAAGGTGAGGTCCAAAAATCATCAAACTAAGTTTTCACACAAAGAAAGATTTTCTTACCACAATATTGAAATCTACTTTGAGCTGAATCAGAAAGACAAGATTGAAAAGCGAAGCGAAATTTCACAGCTACTAGATTATGAAAAAGCATAAATACAGCACACAGATAAGCAAATGGAATTGATCTTATTAAAAATATAATAAATAGAGTAACAAAATACTTTATGTAAATTAATTATCTCACTAATGATTTTAAGTGATTTTGAAATAAGTATTGATCGTCTGAATATGAAAACTACACTCCACCATTTAGGAGAGAACCAAAAATCCTACTTATTAATAAGAGGGAATAGCAGGCACCTCAAGGTCAACATGTGTGCTTCCATGGAATTAAAAATTAATCTGAGGATACTTCTGTCATTTCAAAGCTTTTATAGCTATTCATTTCATTACATAGCTTAACACGTGGATTCCAATTTTAACGCGTGGAACCAGCGCTGCTTTCTCAGCTAAATCTCGAACAACCATGGAGAGGTAACACCATCTCTAACTAACAAAACTCCAGAACGTCTGCTCTCTCCGTGTTTCCTCTTGTTGTCAAGTTTGCACTTCAGTGTGTTTTCTTCCGTCAATCGTATTTTCTGGTGGGTACCTCTTCTGTCATCTCTTTGATTCATTTTTATCTATTATCTATATTTCTCTTGAGGAGTATCAATGGATTTTGGTTTTCAATGAATTACCACTTCTGTTATGACTTTTGTTCTATTGGTGTTTGAGAAAATTCTTCAATGAATTACTATTTCTGTTAAATTTCTTATGCATATTTTTGTCTTCTTTATTTTTTAAGTGTTTGTGATTCATCTCTATCTGTATTTCTGTTGAGGAGTATGAATGGTTTTTTTTCTCATTTCGCTGGGGCTAAATTATATAAAAATGGTTGTAAATAATGCTCATGTGATCATCATCTTTCTTACCCATCAAAGGTTTTGACTGCAAAAGAATAATTATCGTAATTTATGAAGTGATCGATTCTGCATAAATGCAAAAAGGATGGACATACTTCTTAGAATGAATAATGGCTTCTCTCTGTTTCCAACTTATTCCTTCAATGAAAAGTGTGATAGGATTTTTTTGTTGCATGTTTTCCCTTTCTTTCTTAGTGGTAAAAGGATCAATTTTGGCTAAAAAGTGGAGTCTTAACTGAGGTTTCTATTGATTCTTGTAACCTAAATTTGTAGTAATTTTAGAGATTGAAGTTTGCATTATGTAGTCTGCAATTTCTTGGTTGGTATTAAAATAAAAATGGAATTTGTACCTTGCTTTTAAGTCATAAAGGGATCACTTGGCAGAAAGGTTGCTTCTTTATTGGGAATACAATTTCTTTTCTGGGAGTATAATTTGTGATGGCAATTTTCTACCTAAATTCGTAGTAAATCTAGAGGTTGAAGTGTCCCTGTGTAACCTGCACTTTCTTGCGTGCATACCAGTGTTATATTGCTGCTATGCCTAGATCAATTTAGCAACTTTAGGAGATGACTATAAACTGATCATCCATACTAACAAATATTTTTACCAAAGGTAAAGATTCTCTCATCAAATGTTGCAGGAGAGAATACCTTTATTAGACTGAAGTTTATTCGATGAGATAGCTACAAATAACCTTGAATCAAATACGTCAATAACTAGCTCCAAAGAGCACAAACAACCAGATAGGTTCACATTTGACTGATGCTGCACTATTGGGTGTATAAGCACTGTAGAATTTAGCAGTATCTTCTCCAAAAGTTTTGGACAATAAAATACCAGTATTTTTCTATATAACAGCTAAATCATGCTATAAAACCCCTCTCTGCCAGATAAAGGGACCTGCTGCAAAAAAAAAAACCTTTTCTTTTTCTGAATAACTAAACTTAAACCGTACAAAGCAACTACCATAACATTCAACTATGCCCTTCACACAGAACAATCACAAAGATGAAAACTTTGAGAATTTCAGTCAAAAGGGATTCAAGAACAGTGACGTACTGCTATATTCATTAACTCAACTCTTCAACTTTTTTAATCAGACCCCTATGGTTAAAATTTTACAACAAGGCCCATAGTATGTTAAAAATCATAATTTTACCATCCACCAATTACAACCAAATTCAAGCAAGCCTTTTATATGAACAATCACAATTCACAAAGTTAAAATAAAGATTGACAAATGGTAAATTTAGAACCTAACATATTTAAAATGGAATAAATTTATTGTGACTATGTATTGCGTTTGCTTACTTTTATATTGTTAGTAGAATAAACAATAAACTGCGGTGCTTAAAGTCTACTAAAGTACTTTTCTGTTTGCTTTTTTTGAACTATTTGAAAAGCAGATATTCCGCTGTAATAAGTCTGTGAAGAAATGTCTTCCAACTAAAGGAACAAACGTACATGTACAGAAAATACAAACTCTGAAAAGAAACTAAGGCGACGTGATACATATGGAAAGATATCAGCTGATGAAAAAGAAGCAATGTTATTGCAACGACGCACCAAAAAAATGGAGCTAAAAAAATGCAATGGTTCCATAAAATCAGTTGTTGATTGTCCAGCTGAAAGAATAAAGTGCCCATGTGACACAATATTGTCAAAACAGACTGCTCTTACTATAAGAGAGTCTTCTTCTGATAATGCCAAAGGTTGGATGTCAAATTGCTTCTTTTTTGCTTCTATTAGTTTGCCTGAATATTCACTTGCTGTGAAATGTGTTCCATATTTTGTGCAGTAGGCACCAACCATGAAACTCCTATTTTATCAACTCCTTCTAATAAAGGAAAAGAAGTCGGTCAGTCATTCTGTGTGTTTGAAAGAGGTAAGGTTACAACATATACCTTTAACTTTGTAACTTCATCAAGTTATAGGCGTGCATCTAAATAAAAGATATTGATACACCAGGATCAACATGTGGTACATCTGAGGGACAACAAAATGCCTTTGTTGAAGTTGTTAGCAACAAAGGTTAGTCTTAGTCGTTCAACTAACATTACTCATTATTTGAATTTTTGATTAGTTTGTCAACACAAAGTGCACTTACTATAAAACAAGCTTCTTCTGCTAATGTCAAAGGTTGGAATGACATATTGGGTTATCTCTATTTCTGTTAGATTACCTCAATACTAATTTACTGTTGAATGTATTTCATATTCAACGCAGTAGGTGGCTGCTATGAAGTTAATAGTTTATCGAGTTCGTTTAATACAGGAAAAAGTATCTCCCATCCATTATGTGTATTTGAAAGAGGTAAAACTACAACCTCCAACTTTATCTTTGTTATCACGTCATAACTTAGGCGTACATTTAAATTATAAGAATTTTTGTATCAGGATCAACATCTGAAACATGTAAGAGTCAACAAGATGTCTCCCCTGAAGTTTTTTCAAACAAAGGTTAGCATTACTTTTGTGTTAAAGTAACATTATGCAGTAGTAGAATTTATCTCAGCCTTTATTTTTACCAATTCTCATAATATGAATATTGACTTACTGTGAAATGTGTTTAATATTTTATGTAATAGGCACCAGTTATGAAATTCCTACTTTATCAGCTGTTTTTGACAAAGAAAAAGACGTCGGTCACTCATTCTGTGTGTTTGAAAGAGGTAAGGCTACAACCTCTACGTTTAACTTCGTTAATTCATCATGCCATAGGCGTACATCTAAATTAAAAAAATTGATACACCAAGATCAACATCCGGTACATCTAAGGGACAACAAAATGCATCTACTGAAGTTGTTACCAATAAAGGTTAGTCTTAATTTTACGTTAAGGTAAGATTACTCATTATTTTAATTTTTGGTTACTCTTTAACAATATTTATAACATACAGGTTATAGATTGAACAAAATAGTCTATGCGAAAAATAATGAAAACAACTTAGATTATGCACGCTTAAAAGCCGTTCCAAATTGTAAATTTTGCAATTCAAAAAGGTTTCAGTATGAACCACCTGGATTTTGTTGTGGCAGTGGGTCAGTAAAGTTAGTTTCATATCAGCTACCTAATGAATTATCAGATTTGTACACAGGCAACAGTGAAGAATCTAAGCACTTTCGAACGTACATTAGAACATACAATAATATGTTTGCGTTTACCTCACTTGGTGTAACGAATGATAAAGATTTAGCAAGGAGATATCATGGTATATATACATTTCGAGTTCAGGGACAAATGCATCATTTTATACCTGATTTACTTCCTTCTGATAAAAAAGTTAAGAATCTGCAATTATACTTCTACGATAATGAAAATGAACTTGCTAACAAAATGGCCTATTCAATTAATATCAACGAATCAATTGTCAGAGACTTATGAATGTTCTCTCAGTTAATCCATACTCCATCTTTCTGAAATCCCTGGCAAACGTTCCGAAACTATGTGATTCTTATATCGCACTTAAATGTGATCGATGTCTAGATTAACGTGTATATAATTTACCAACTGCAACAGAGGTAGCTGGAATATGGGTTCAAGATAATTCTGCTGATATTGTTTCTATGCCACATATTCGAATATATACCCATAGTAATAAGACGCAATCCGTGAATTACTATTACGGATGTTATGATCCTTTGCAATACCCATTATTATTTTCTTATGGTCAAAACGGGTGGCATTGTGGTATCAAAAAAAATTGCACGAACAAATCAACGTGATTGTAAACATGAAGAATTACCAAGTGTAAAGAACATGTGTTCCATTGATGGATTTCTTGACATGGAAGATCAGGACCTGAAAAAAGAAAAACGAAAAAGAGAAACAGTTTCTTGTCGTGAGTATTATTGTTACAAATTGCAGATAAGAGAGAATGACAAGAATGAAGTATTACATTGCGGAAGATTATTTCAACAATTCAGAGTAGATGTGTTCATAAAGCTAGAAACACAAAGATTAGATTTTTATTTTTTTAATCAAGATTTATTTCGGATAGATATGCTACAAGGAATTATTGATTTTCTAAGACTTGGTGAAACTGAAGCTTCCAAAATTGGAAAAAAAATATTCCTTCCTGTTACTTTCATAGGAGGACCGAGAGATATGCGTCGGCGGTATATGGATGCTATCGCATTAGTCCAACGTTTTGGAAAACCTGATCTTTTTATAACTATAACATGTAGTGCATCTTGGCCAGAAATAAAACAACACTTGTTATCAACTGACGAAACTCAAAATAGACCTGATTTAGTATCGCGAGTATTCAGGGCAAAAGTAGAGGAATTGAAAGCAGATATTTTGAAAAGAAAAATCTTTGGGAAAATTGCTGCTTTTATGTATACTATAGAATTTTAAAAACGTGGTCTTCCACATGCTCATTTTCTGATCATACTTAGTGATGAATATAAACTATTAACACCTGAATCTTATGATAAGTTTGTCCGTGCTGAATTACCCGATGCTAATACCGAAAAGCATCTTTATTCGCGTGTGCTTCAACATATGATGCATGGACCATGTGGTGACTTACATCCCACAAATTCATGTATGGGGAAAAAGGGCCTCTACAAATTCAACTATCCGAAAGATTTTGCTGAGAAAATATCTAAAGGAAAAAATTCATATCCAATTTATAAGAGACGAAATACAAGAAAACTTGTACATATAAGAGAACAATATTTAGACAACTCATGGGTTGTCCAGTACAACCCTTATTTGCTTTGTAAGTTTGATTGCCATATCAATGTTGAGGTTTGTTCGGATATTAAAGTTGTGAAATATATTTATAAATACATTTGTAAAGGACATGATAAAATTACTTTTTCTGTACATGGAAACGAAGAAATAGATGAAATCAAAGAATATCGATCTGCTAGATGGGTAACACCTCCAGAAGCGGCATGGCGTTTGTTTGGTTTTCCTATTAGAGAAATGACTCCGAGTGTCTATCATCTTCAGTTACATCTAGAAGGGCAACAATATGTTTCTTTTAAAAGTACTGAAAGCGTGAATAGAATATTAAATAATCCGATGATTAGAAAAACAATGTTAATTGAACTTTTTACTATGAATAGCAGATATGAACATGCTAAAGATATGCAATTATTGTATAAGGAATTCCAGAACATTTTGTATGGTCTCCAGGATATAAAATGTGGACACGTCGGCAAAAACGTAATGTAATCGGACGTGTTGTGACATGTCATCCAACAGAAGGGGAAAGATATTATCTTAGGTTACTATTGATGAATGTAAGAGCACCAAAATCATATGAGATCTTCGTACTGTTAATGGTGTACCTTGTAGTACATTAAGAGAATCGGCAGAAAAAAGAGAATTATTATATTGTAACAACAGTCTAATTGAATGTATGTCAGAGGCTGTAAGCTATCAGATGCTATATAGTTTGAGACGTTTATTCGCCACATTGTTAGTATATTGTAGCCCTACTAATCCAAAAGAATTATGGGAAATGTTTGAGGATTCAATGTCCGAAGACTTTAAGCGTTTGTCGAATATCACGGCACAAAGTGTTCGACATAACGTCTTAAGCCATATCAACGATATCTTACATTCTATGGGCCATGACATAAATGAGTATAAGCTTGTTTTAGAAAATATTAGACCTTCTGTGATTGCAAAAGATGCAAAAGATGTTCATTTTTAGAGAAACATAATTGTTAGTGAAGAAGACTTGTTATTACCAATGAGATTGAATGCCGAACAATTGCGGTCAGATAACATAATAATTGATAGAATATCTTCTAAGCAATCAGGAGCTTTTTTCATTGATGGTCCCGGCGGAACAGGTAAAACTTTCTTATATCGTGCATTATTAGCAACTATCAGGTCTCAGGGATTTATAGCTTTAGCAACTGCAACTTCTGGTGTAGCAGCTTCCGTCCTTCCAGGGGGACGGACTGTTCACTCACGTTTCAAAATGCCAATAGACATAGATGATAACTTCTGCTGCAATATTAGTAAACAAAGTTCACTTGCAACCTTGATTCGAGATGCAAAACTAATTGTATGGGATGAAGCGTCAATGGCAAAAAAAACATGATTGAAGCTCTTGATGCACTTCTCAAAGATATTATGGATGTGAATACATTATTCGGAGGTAAAGTTGTTGTATTTGGAGGTGACTTTAGACAGACTCTTCCAGTTGTTCGAAACGGCAAAAAACAAGATTTTATTCATGAAAGCTTATTATATTCTAATATTTGGAATGAACTTGAGAAATTGCATCTGTCTGAAAATATGCGCTAAGAACATATCCATCTTTTTGTGAATATTTACTTAGGATTGGAAATGGAAAAGAACCAACTAACTGTGAAAACAAAATTGAGATTCCTGATTCTTTTGTTATTCCTTTTACTACAGAAGAAGAATCTTTAGATGTACTATTTAATATAACATATTCCGATCTACATGGATTTTCCCCTGATTCATCTCTGTTTAATTCTCGTGTTATTTTAACAACAAGGAATGATTTCGTGAATGAAATAAATAATATGTTAATCACTAAATTCCCGGAAAGGGCTACAACATTTGTTGCAATTGATGAAACTGTTGAACCGAATGATCAAAGTCAATTTGAAGATTTCTTACATAGTTTAGATCCTCCTGGTCTACCTCCTTATAAGTTAACTTTAAAAGAAAATTATCCAGTTATATTGTTACGAAATTTGAATCCTCCTGAAGGTTTATGCAATGGTACTCGATTATGTTGTGATTTTAGAACACATGTTATAAGTGCTAAAATTGAAAGCGGTGACTTTAAAATACACATGTATTTATACCAAGAATACCATTGTTAGCATCACAAGATGAGAAAATACCTGTTCAGTTTAAGAGAACACAATTTCCTCTAAGATTATGCTTTGCTATGACGATAAATAAAGCTCAAGGTCAAACATTAGATTTTGTTGGAATCTATTTACGCGAACCTGTTTTTTCACATGGCCAACTTTATGTTGCTTTATCAAGAGCTAAAAGTTCAAAATGTGTCAAAATACTCATTCGTCCACCTACAACAGACGGTAATGATCATTCAACATATAATATAGTGTATGATGAAATTATTCAAAGAGCCTTCTCATCAGTAACCTATTGATGACTTTGATTTTGTTAATTTCGTGGAACTTTTCTCTTGGATTCTTTGCTGCTAGAAAATAATGGATTCAATGAAGGACACCCTGCCTTTGCAATTGAATAAAAAGCCAAATTTTTAACTCCGCCTGTGTTGGAGTTATACTACAACACAGCCGGTCCCAAGCCCGGACAAAGGAGGAGGGTTTTTCAGTTTATTACGAGTTAGATCCTTCGCTACTGTACTTTCATTTGTAGGTATATCAAAGAGATCCTATCAAGTGAAATGTTTTCACGTGTTGGTACTAAAAAATTCTACGACACTAACCAAGTTATAATAGAGTAGTTTTATTTTCCATCTTAGATATTGTTTCATTTCTTGATTTTGTATTGGATATCTCTGGATATTTCAACGATCTGATTAGTTTTACTACTCAAAAATATCCAACTGCTTGGAAAATTCCTGTCTTCTTTAACTTCGTTATCCTTTTCCTTCAACTATTATGAATACATACTAATAGTTAACATCATATATATTTGACGAAACTAAGTGATTCGGTTTATAAAGAATTACAGCTTTCACTGCTGTATTTTTGTTTGTTGATTCGATTATAATTACACTTTCACCACAAGTTTTCATGGCTACTTGTATTGTTTTTCGTTGTGTCTTGCAATTAAATAAGTCCTTTTCAGTTGTGTTGAAAAGAATAGCAGTGGTAGCATGTATGGCACTCCAAAAGGCTCCTCTTAGTAGCAAATCAGCTGGAAGAATTGGACTAAGCACATGTTTTGTGCTGCAGTCATTTTTCACTCTTCGCCCAAGGCTCCCGTGTCATTTCTTTTTTGAAATCATGTGGAGAAGAGTCTCCTAATTGTAACAGTTACACTTTAGCAAATGACCTAGGGGACATTGAGCTTCTCATAGAAATGATGTTGCCTTCTTCGGTGGCAATTTCATAGTTGCATGATAATGCTTCTCAAGCTTTACAGGTGAATATCGTGTAATTCTCTAACTCTTATGACTTAATTATCAATGTTATTAGCTGTGAATTCCAACTTTTCGGTATTTGATAATAAATCATTTAATAAAAAGAAATTCTACGTTCTGTGTTTACTTTCAACTGCCTTGTCATAAAGAGAGTATTACCTATCAGATTAAGATGTGCCTTATTCATTTCTTTTTCCATCATCATAGTTTTAGTGAAGAACAACTTTCAGGACTACTTACAGTGTTTTTTTCTTAATATCTATTGCCATACTTTCTATTGTTATGACTTCAATGTTTACAGGTTCAACTACTTAGTCACTATTAGAAGAACTTGTAGCAAACACTCTATACTTTCTCCTACTGTGGCTGCGTCATTTATGAAATTACGAATTTTCAACAGTTGAAGCTCTTAAAGTAGATAGTGAATGTCGATTTAGATTACTTGAAGAGAACGGGAAGTTCAAGTTCAGCTTGTAGCTTCAGGCGAGTTAAGGTTTACTTTTCTAAAAGAAAATTTTAATGCTAAAAAAAAAAGGTTTTTTGGTAGTTTAACATTCAGTTTTATTCAATATATTCTTAAATGAGAGTGTGATACTACTACATGTGATATTTTGTCACCAGCAGGACATGTGTGATATTCTGTCAAGTCATTAAGTAATTAATTTTCTTTTATGCTCATATTCGGTTCAAGCTCATTTACCGGCGTGATCAAATTCGGTTTTACTCAGTATTATATGGCTACTCTGGGCAGTCGACATCATGTTTTTAGATGTCTTGGGAAGCAGAAAAAGTCACGTACACTACTGCTTATTATCATGTTACTTACAAAAAGGATTGAGCTATCAGAATAGTTTATTGATATTCTTCGATGTTCCAATTTTGCTATTGCTCCGAAAACATATTTGTTGAACTACAATCGTATTCTTGGCCTTCATGCTCCAGCTATCAGATGACAAGGCCTTAGTATGTGAGCATATGAGATGTGCTCAGCCTCCACATTTCCTGTATTCATAAACTAACAATCGTAGTAGCTAATTGAAGATGTATAATCTTTAATGTGGAGCGCGAAATTTTTTAGAACTTTGGGGGCTAATCTTACTAGTATACATATAGATATGGATTGTTCACGTATTTAATTTTGATTTACAAAAATAAAATAAAATAGTCGATTCTTATAAGTAGCTCCTAAATGCATTTACTACCATATACAATACTAACATGGCGGATTTAAATGCAGAAGTGAGTGACTTTTAAGAATAATGTTAGGGTAATTCGAACCGAACACCAAATTGAAAAGTCAAAGCGAATCCTCTCTTGGGATGTATTATTTAATGAACTATGAAGTGTATTCATTTTTATTTACATTAAATATTGGGTTGTATCACATTCTTATCAAGTATTATTGAAATACGTCAATCATATGTTTGTTCTTCCATATTCATATGTCAAGATTTCTTATATCTTTTTCGAATTTGAAATGCTATTTCGATATTTTAAAATTAAGTAAAACATATTATTATTTAGGTAACATATTGATTTTTATGTTTAATTATTAAATTCGGCTAACCTTGAAAGAGTACTTCAACAAAAAATTATTGTTACACGACTAAGAAAATAACTATCATGTATTACTAAAAATATTCTCCGATAAGAATACTTTAATAAATCATATGTATGGTAATCTTTTTTAATTTTTACTAAACATATATTGATTTATCAAAACTTCATATATAACTTTAACAAAGGAAGATTGAAATAATATTCATGTAATAAAAAAATCCAAAAATCGGAAAAACCCGACAAAACCGAACCAATCCAATCTGATGTAGTTGGCTTGGTTTGATTTTATCAAAATCAAACCAACCTTGTCTATGTACACCTCTAAATAACGTTATCAAAGATACTAAATAGTTGTTGGGCCCGGGCATAGCCCGGGCGTACTCTCACTAGTAAAAGAATAGGGAAACTTACACAAATGTCCCAAATAAATCTCAACTTACCAACCTCTAGCCATTAGTCATAGACTTACCAAAACTAGCCAACAAAAATTGAAAAACCAAATAATAGGGTTCTTTCTCTCAAAGAATCACATGCAAAAATTACCTTCCATATTTTTAAGCGTGATTAGCAACATTAGATACAAGACGGAAAGGAAATTTCATGAACGGGGTAGCAAATAAGGTGATGAAATACAAAAATCTATACAATATTCCAAAAATCTAAACAAAAAAGGAACTTTTTCAATGGGTATAGTTGAAATTCATTGAAAGTATATAGATAAGTCAATATACAAAATTTGAGGAAGATTGGAGGTGATTTGGACGGGTTTTGTATCAAAATTCATAATTAAATCGAGTTCAAAAAAGTCTTCTGCGACACAAGTATCAAACATGTATCACGCATGTATCACACACACAAGTATACATGGATATACATGTGATACACAATTGATACAAATATGATACATATGTGAAACACAAATGATACACAATGTAATACACATATCATTTTTTTTCATGTTCAGCTTTTACTTCGAATTTTCAATTCAAACCACCTCAAAACTTCACCAAATCATCCCAAAACTGAGATTCAAGCTCCTTAAGTTGTGTCCAATCTATTCTGATAACACCCACTCAAAACAAAGCAAAAATTTGATAGTTTTTTGCTATAAATAGCTAATTGACTAATTTGGCTAATATTAGTAATATTTTATCAATTAGCCAATTTTTATAATGAACTACTTATAAATGGACATAGCTGGTAATTTCCCAAAAGAATATATGTCTAATGGCACGCCCCAAAATTAACACCTGATCGTACTTTAACCCCCATCGACCAGCCAAAATCACACTAATTCCAATCATCACCAAATACATGTGGTGCAACATTTAAATCAAAACGAGATGATAATAATTATAAAACATTTGACCCTCTTGGTCTCAACATAAATGCTAAAGTAAATTAACAGTTTGGATTATGAACATATGAATATCCATATACGATAAACAAATCCATCAAGTAACATCTATGGAACGTTTGTGACAAGATGACGAAACGGGTCGCGAAGATAAATACCAAGCTCACGAAGAACATGACGAATCCAAGAAGTTTCAGCTACAGTATAGGCAATAGCCCTATACTTGGCCTCTGTAGACGATCTTGAACTGTCGGTTGTTTCTTCGCACGCCAAGGGATAAGATTGGAACACAAGAAAATTGCAAACCAACGCCTGCTATCGTGGCATCCAGCCCAATTAGCATCCGAATAATCAATCACCAATGAATTGAATGAAGAAGCACGCAAGAACAGTCCATGCGAAATAGTACCCTATAAGTACCTAAAAATATGCTTCACACACTGCAAATGAGTAGTACGAGGTGCATGCATAAACTGAGAAACAACATTCATAGCATAGGCAATATCAGTACGAGTCAAAGTCAAGTATTGAAGAGCACCCATATTCACTAGGATCTGAAAGTGACTCACCATCCATAAGAGAAATATAGGTACGAGAAGATAGGGTGTGAGAACTGGCTTACAAGTATGCATGTGAAACTTAAGGAGCATGTCTGAAATATACTTCTGTTGAGATAAATGAAGACCACCAGGTGAGCGAACAACTTGAACACCAAGAAAATAATGAATATCGTCTACGTCTTTCATGGCAAACTGAAGTGAAAGAAGACTAATAAACTGATCAAGGAGAGATGAATGACTACCAGTTAGAATAATATCATCAACATAAAGCAATAGAATAAGAATACCTGATGATGAACGACGAACAAACATAGAGGTATCGGATTTGCTACAAATAAAACCTTGAGAAAGAAGAAATGTACTAACGCGATGAAACCATGCACGCGGGGCCTGTTTTAAACCATAAATGGCTTTGGTCAATTTGCAAACATGGTGAGGCAATTCAGGATGAATAAAACCAGTAGGTTGTTTCATAAAGACTTCCTCGGTAAGAACACCATGTGAAAAGGTATTTTTAACATCTAATTGACGAATAGGCCAAGAAAAAGAAACAGCAAGAGAAAGTACAATACGAATAGTAGTAGCTCAAACAACAAGACTAAAAGTCTCATGGTAATCAACACCAAGTTGTTGATGAAAACCCTGTGCTACAAGACGAGCTTTGTACCGCTCAATAGTTCCGAATTATATTTAATACGATAAACTCACTTACAACCGACCAAGTTCATGTGAGGTTGAAAAGGAACAAGCACCCAAGTTTTATTTGCCAAAAGCGCATTAAACCCATCTGCCATAGCTTGTTGCCACTTAGGATTTTTCGCAGCCTGAGAGAAACAAGAGGGCTCAATATCACGAAGAGTAGCACTCAATGAAAATACTTTCTTAGGCTTAGAAATTCCAGATTTAAAACGAGCTTGCATTGGATGAGATGTAATGATAGATGTGGAAGTGGAAGAAATGGTAGTGGGAGACAAGATAGGTAAGGATGGGGAAAGATTGGTAGAGTGTGACTTACTAGATGGATCAGCAGACGATGCCGGAGTGACTGTGGTAGAACAAGGAGAAGGGGAAGGAGAATTTGAGGAAGGAAGGTCAGAGGAAGCCACAACAGAGTTATGCAGGACAGAAAGTTGTGAAGGTAATAAGGGTGATATAACCACAAGAGGATCTAGAGAGTGGGATGAGGAAGACACATGTGAAAGACAAGACAAGGTAACGTATGAGAATACTGACTCATGAAATATAACATGACGAATAACATACACACGACCTGATTTAGGATCTAGACAACATATTCTTTAGAGTTAGATGCATAACCAAGAAAAATACAGTGAACAGAACGGGGTGTGAGCTTGTGAGGTACTCGAGCAGAAAGGTTAGGAAAGCATTCACAACCAAAGGCTCTAAGAAAATTATAGTCTGGAGGTCTATTAAAAAGGTATTTCAAAAGGAGAAAGTCCTTGCAAAATAGGCGTTGGCAATCTATTAATTGTATAAACGGCATAATA